AAATTAAAAAGCTTTTGAATAACAAAGGAAACAAGTAAGAGCATAAAAACAGGCTACATCATGGGAGAAGATCTTTGCCACCTGCTCCTTAGATAGAAGATTAATATCCAGAGGGTATAAAGAACACAAAACTTAACCTCCCCCAAAAATTAATCCAATTAACAAATGGGCAAAATATCTACATAGACACTTCTCAAATGAAGAAATAAAAGTGTTCCATAAATATATGAAAAACTGTTCAACATCTCTAAAAATCAGGGAAATTCAAATCAAAAGTACATTGAGATTTCATTTATTTCTAGTCAGAATAGCATTTATCAAGAATGCAAGTAATAACAAATGTTGACAAGGATGTAGGGAAAAACCTACACTCGTGCATTGTTGGTGGGACTGCAAATTAGTACAAACACTCTGAAACACAGTATGGAGCTTCCTCAAAATGCTAAGAATGGATCTACCATATGGCTTAGCTACCCTTCTCCTTGGTATTTATCCAAAAGAACTAAAATTGGCATACTATATAGATGCACTCACATTGATTTTCAAAACATTCTCACTACTGCTTTTCTATGTTTGTTTTGAAGCAGAAAGGACTAGGCAACAAAATTATTCATCATTATCCTTTCTGCCTTGTTAAATGTTCCCTAGCAGGATAAAGCATTTCCACTAATCCTGCTGCTTGGTCCAGTTGTGAAATCCTCAAGATAATGCATTATACTTCTCATGAGCAAACAAACTCTCAAAGGTAATTATTCCTAATGAAGGTAATTTCTACCACCACAACTCTCCTCTAGGTCTCTTGGTCACTACAGTCCAGTGACGTCAAGTGACTATTAGTGTCTAATCTTTGTGATGGCTTTCCTTATATCTGTGTACTGAAGATATTGATGCTCTGAGTGTGAAGTGTGAGGATTGAAGACTGGACAGGCATGGATTCCCTCTTCTTTTCCCCACTGAGAGGCTTCTGAGGAACTTTGTGTTTCCTACTAGGTGCTGACATTTTAAGATCAAAGACAGGAACAGCATTGCTTCTGGACCAGTCAGATGAAGTTAATTTGGAAGGTAGCATTTTCCTCACACATGTGAGTACATACTTCACATGTAAAGCTGCAGTTGAGACCAAGACATGGTCCTTTCAATGTGACTCTTGGTGACATGTGATTTAATTTCTAGAGGTTTCCCTGTTTTCTTGTAATCTAATTTACTGCTATTGCAAACAGAAGCAATATAGCTATAGTTAGATTAAATCCTTTGCAAAATGGTGAAACAGAATATTTGTTTTCAAAATGTTTCATTTCTTCCTTTTAATTCTCCTTCTTTCTTTCAGAGTTCTGGCTTCTCTGTGTGCTCATTAAGTTTCTTGGGTCTTAGGTTAGAATACAGCATTTAGTCCTTTTTTACCTCCTGGAAAACTCATTTTTGCTACAAATACCCTGAATCTATTTCCATCTCTCTCTCTCTCTCTTTTTTTTTAAGTAAACTTTATTACTTATCTCCACAGCACTAGGTCTGATTTCTAAGGAGATGTGGGAGTAACAACCTAGGTCTTCCCAAGCCTTAATGACTATAACTTCATACTCATTTTAGGTAAGTAAAAGTGTTTTCTTTTCCTGAGGGTAGAGAGATTCTCCTAAAGAGTAGATATCATTATTTGCCTCCAGTACTTTTATTCACTTCACTTCATCTGCCAATTATAATAGCTGAGTTGTAAGTAGTACTAGAAAAAAATTCAACCTTGTATGCATGTATTAATTCATCTCCTAAAACTACAAGAAATGAAAAATTGGTCTTTACTTAACTAGTCCAAAATTCATTCTTGTGTGAGTCAGATCACACCATGTAAAATTATTAGAAAATCTTTATTTATTCTGATCTGAAATAACACATTATTAAGAATGTTACATATACTTAGTCATTATGTTATATTACAGAATTCTCTCCTATGTGGTATTTTAAGAAACATTTTCAGTGTGTATATAATGATAATAATCTAAATATTTAATACATAAGGATGATAAGTGATGATGAAAGGCGAAAGGACCTGCTCAGTGTCATGCAGCTACTAAAGGACATAACTGTAGTTTTTAACATGGGTTTATTTTTATTCTAAAAGCTCTGTACTGAGTACATTACTGTGAGTTTATTTGGTATCTTGTATGCTAAGAAACTCAGCTCTTAATAAAATCAATTTGTTCAATGTTTTTCTTCATGGAAAACAGAGCACTTTATTTTTCTGGGAACTCTGAGAAACCAGTCAGCAAAAGAACAGAAAAAGACTTTGGAAGAAGGATTCTTTTTGATGCCTTTCTCACAGAATTAGATAATGTGTTTTTTTCTCAAACTTTTGCTCACAAATGCCTCTGATTACACTCTTTCTGTTGTAGCACCAGAAGCTTTCCTTCCTTGTGATTAATGCTTTGCTCTTTCTGATAGGATGCATGTGAAACCCTATTAGCTGATTGTATTGGGTATTATTTCCTTTCCTGTATTAAAAGTTCATTGCAGTTTTATGTCTTGGAGTCTCAAAGAGTCAGAAATCCTGAGTATATAGAAAGAGGTGAAAAAGAAAATAAAAGAATGTAGTAGTACTTCAAAGTTCATTGTTATAATTTCCTGCAGTCTGTTATACCTTCAAATTCAATTTGTTAAACTTTTCAAAAGTCCTAAGGTCATGATTTGGATATAACATGTAATAATATATAAATCAATTCTTTAGTGAATTTTCTAGAATGGAGATTTCAGATATAAGATGAGTTTCTGATTTTGATTTATGGTAATTAAAATTACTCATCACATTACCTATCTTCACACATAAAACCTTTGGTGAAACTCAAGGAGAGACTTGGAAATTCATAGTTATGATCTAAGAAGATGTTAATATTAAAAATAGCAAGTTGTCAGAAATCAGTAAAATAAAAAACATCTACTATAAATTGATTCCAATGTAAAGAAGATTTTTCAAATTTGAGAAGTCCAGTGTTCTTTTACAATTTGTTTTTATTTTTATTATTCTGTGTAAAACTTTAGAAATTTCTAGATAGCTTATACAAGTGAAAATAACACAAAGCAGAATAGAACATAGGATAAATGAAGAGGAAAGGAAAATCATTTTTCTCTTAGTCTAAATTCCTTATGAGTTCTCATCCTTCCCAACTATAATATTTAAAAGCCTAATGAAATCAAATAAAATACTATTAATAACCCAATAAAATATTCATGGTCATTAACACCATTGACTGTGTATAAAGAAGTTTAATATCTTCAGGGATTAGTTGAAATGAACTAATAGTAGTTTTCTTGATAGGGAGGACTCCATGAGTACCCAAGTCACATACAGTGTGATCTGGGGAGCTCTGAAACTTTAAGTATTCTCAGAAATTTGTATTCTAGTATATAGAATTATAATGCAAGAAGGAGGAGATAAAATAGAATACCTCAAGGCAATGATTCCTCCTACTAACCTATTTACACAAATGCAATGTTGTCTCTCTTTCCCTCCTGGTTAATCTTTAAAAATATGTATGTTCACAAAAGTACAAAAAACAAGTGAACACCTTGGTAAGTTTTTACAAAGTGAAAGCTACCATGTAACTGTCAACCACATCAACAAACAGAATATTTCCTGAGCTTAGTTCTTTTCCCTAGACCCCTTTTGAGGGTAAGAACTATTGGGCTTTCAACACCCTCTATAAGCTTTGCCAGTTTTTAAACTTTAACTACATTAATGAGGCATTTTCTATTATCTATACAATGTCTAATGATTTAAAAA